TATTACAAATACATTAAATTATTTATTTTGTATAAGTGTAACCTGTACACATTTGAAATATGAAAGTGTTAAAAAATTTCTTAACACTGCTGAAATAAAATTATGTAAGATATTTGTCCTAGGAAAGAGTCGTCTTTATACATAACCAACTTATTCAGCTTAACCAATAAATATTTACAGATGAAGGTACAATTCCTTATCCTCAAAAAGCTTAAGCTAATTCTGACTATAGATCATAATAATCATAATAATTCCCTGAAGTCCAACATAGAGAACATGCAAACATTAAAATATTTAAGAAAATGAAAGGCAGGCTAAAACAGACATCTTTTATTTTGTAATGGAGAGTTTGTTTGTGTCCAGGATTGAAGTTCTCGATGTGCTTTGGATCTAACAGGTCCCCCACAGCCCTACATGATAAAAGCTTGATCACCAGTTGTGGCACTTCCGGGTCGGGGAGCCTTAAGAGGTGGAGCCTAGAGAAATCTGGCTTGTTCCTCTTGCCTCTTGTCCCCCCACTCTTGCCTCTCCCCTCCTCTCCTCTGCTCTGCTCTGCTCTCCTCTCCCCTCTCCTCCTCCCCCCTCCTGTTCTCTCCTCTTCTCTCCCCTCCTTTCCTTTCTCCTCCTCTCCCTTTCCCTCCCTTCCCTTCCTCTCCTCTCCTCTGCTCTTCTCTCCTTTCCTCTCTTCTCTTCCCCCTTCTTTGCCTTCCCCTCACTCCCCTACCCTCCTTCCTTTCTTTTCCTTTTACTCTTCTCTCTCCCTCTACCCCCTTCTAGGCTACCAGAAGGTAAACAGACTCCATCATGAAGCCCCCACATCGTGTCAGGCACCCCCACAGCTCCATACAACAGGGCCAAACAACAGCTCCAACCACCATGGACTGACACCTGTAAATCTGTGAGTCAAAATAGACCTTTCTCTTTGTAAGCCGATTATCTCAGGCATTCATTGCATGGCAGAGGGTGACTAGTAGTCTACTGTCACATTCCTCGAGGTTGGTCCCATGTGTAACCTGGGGAATAAGACATTGCCTCAGGAAAATCCTACTGATTAGAAAGACTGTGATCCTCCTACAGAATGAGTGGGATTCACTCTTAACATTGAGCTCTTGATTCTTGAGAGCCTGCCCAACATCCAGTTATCTAAGATAAATAACACACAGCAACTTAAAGATAAGGAAAAAGCCTTACTCTTTTCCTTTCTGAAGATGAACATCATCTGATCTCTGTGTTGGACTGGAAAAATAACTGTTGGCATTGGTAGAATGATAAGCAATTTTCACCTTATCCCAGAAAGATAAAAAAAAAAAAAGAATTTTTAAACCTTTCAACATGTAATTTTCATTTCTCATTGCTGTCAGTTTTAGAACTTACATGAATAGAAACTTGTGGACCTCTTAAATGTTTTTCTTCTAAGATTTATGTAAGACAACATAAAATTTTAAAAATTATCAGGTTCACAACATTCTTTCTACCTTCACTAACACACCAAACAGCATTATACTAGACCATAGCTTTTCCATAATTAGAATTACAATAGAAAATGAAAATCTCCATGTTAGGAAAACAGTTATTATTACTAACAAATTCTGTTGGTGGAGAGCTTTTACAGACTTGATCCAATTAAAGCGAGCTCTGAAAGAGACCAAAGGTCACCAAACAGTTCTGCCTGCTGGAGTGAGAGCACTCTAGCACGAAGAACGGCTAAGCCTTCTTTGGAGGGAGCGTGCTGACACCGCATGTTAAATTAGATTTCATAAATTATAAGCATCAATTTAAGCTTATGTAACCAGTGTGGAAACAATCTTTCCATATAACTTGAGTCATAACAAGTGATTTTGGTTTGATCTATTGGTTTCATATCTGTAAACTATCCTAAGAAAATAATCCAAAATACAAAAAGTCTGATGACTAAATATACTCATCGAAGTGTTTTGTTCATAAAAATTCATAAGTACGTCAGAAACTTACCAGTAGGGTGCTGTTTAGCTAAGATTAGTAAATCCATGTATGCGGTGTGATCAAAATATGCAGTTAAGTTTTAAATTTTAAAAAATGTATCGCGGTAAGAGACACATTGCCGTGAATCCCCTTCCAAATATTTATCCTCTAGTATTTATCCCATGAACACACTTAGCCATCATCCTGGGCGCTTTCTGAAGCAGCTCTGCAGTCCTCTTCCCCAGTGCCTTTACCAGGGGGGTAGGGGGGAGGAGGGAAGGGAGAAACTGGCCAACGCTGCCCGAGACTGCAGCTGTTTTCTGCCCACCGGGGTGGGAGGCGGACCCCGGCCCTGCGGAGCACCCTCACCGGTCCTATTCACCGAATCTGACTCTGTGCAGCTTTTCACTGTTTCTCAAAGTCAAAGTGACCATGAAAAGTCAGTATCTTGAGTCGGTGCAGGGCATCAAAGCAGCCAGGAAAGCAGAACAAAAGCCACGCATGAAACAGGACTTCAGGACTGCTTCAGAAAGTGGCAAGAAAAGTAACGGCCACTGCTGACACTGACAAAGGATCTACAAACTGCGGTATGGGGCTTCAGGCTAAATCGTGAGGGGATTTGACTGATCTTGGCAGATACAAAAGTTACATTTCTTGTTATATAGGTCTTGCTCTATCTTGGTCTTAACCATCCAGCAGAAAAGTATAAAAATGAGGTATAAAAAGTAAAGCCATATTAATATGCTAAGCTGTGAAAGGCTCAAGTCAACAACTTCGGACATTGTCAGTCCTACAGATAACCCACTACTATTATGGACTACTGGACTATTTTGGATTATTTTGCTGAATTCACACACCTACAATATTTAAATGGCAATGGAACACCCATCTCTGGCAAAACTAAACAATAAAAAAGGGGATACAAATGAAAGACCATTTTGTATCTGTATATACCAAATAGTTATGATAGATATAGTTACTTTCTCTTAATTCAATGAGAAGGAAGAATTGTACTAATAGTGTTTAGACAGGATATCATGTCTGCATCTTATACTATGAATAACCACTATAAAGACAGCAATATGCAAAGTACTAATTATTGTAACTGTCCTAATCACCTGTTTTGAAACTATCTCATTGCTATTTGTTTCTCAATAAAATTAATTAAAAAATTTTTAAAGGGGGAAAAAAAGAAAGTGGCAAGATGAGGGATATAGTGTTAGAAGAAAGAGGAATTAAAGGGAGGTTGATGGTAATGTGTGTTGTACTGTAATAATTTTAAAAAATTTAAATGTACAGCATATTTTTATCATACCTTAGTAGCATATCTTCAGTCAGTAAAAATAGTAATGACATTTTATATTTAATACTTATATGACAAAAATTAGCATGAAATTGAATGCATGCTCGAATTTGTATAAAAACAAAGTAGAAATCACAAGGAAGATTTTCATCTTATGACCAAGTGAATACAAAACAGTAAAATAGTTCAATTTTTTCCATGTGGGCAGACAAAATTTAGGTAAGGGAGGAACTTTCTTTTAGCTTATGAGTATTCCATAATGTTATAGTTCATATCATGCGTTAAAATAGCTAAGAACCATTCATGTGAAATCATTTCTCCTAAAAAGTCTTTAAAATATGCCCTGATTTTGATTGAGGGTAACAATGGAATACAGGTGAAGATCATCATATTATTTATATCATATCAGATAATATTCTGCAGCTTCCCTACCTTGTCTTCTGGAAGTCCAGTCTGGCTGAAATAGATGGCATAACGGTCATCACCTCTGATGTGGAATCTATAAACATCAGAATCTGGAGCCACCAAAAACCCACTGAAGCGTGCGACAAATGTGTCATGTTCCATGGGCCAAGAGTAGGAGGCGGAATCTACCCAGGCAGCACCCATGTACCCTGGTGTGGTCTCATCGAATCCAAGTATGTCCTCAAGGCGTGCTGGCTGACTGCCGTTCCACACCTCAAGCCTCAGCCCTCTCCCACCTAAATAGAATAAAAGAAAAGAATCAGGTTTTTTTGTCCCCACAGCCCCTTGCTTGGGTGGAGCAAAGCTTGAGTACATCAACCTTTTGGATCAGCAGTGTGCCCTGACACACAGACAAGAGACTCTAAAATCATCAAGTATAAATGCCAAAATTATTTTCATAAGCTGATCTAAATTTCTAATTTAAAGCAAAGAAATGTAGGGGTCGGTAAATATCATTTATTAGGCTTTGCATACCAACTAGTGACAGAATTATAAGTAGATTTCATTGTGTGCACAAGATATAATAAATAATCAATGCTCAGACGTGCATATGTAAAATGCATTATTGCTATGATAAATAATCCATGCATTTCAATGGAATGGTGTAGGTGGGAAAGCCACCTGCAGCAAGTTCACCAGGTTATATGGGCAAAGTGTAAATTTTTTTTTAATGTATTTGGTACAGGGTCTCACTGCACACCTTGGACTCGTAGTGATCCTCCTGTTTTCAGCCTCCCCTGTGCTGGGATTATAGGTGTGTGCCACCACATCTGGACTCCCCGGGGGCAGGGCCAGCACGGCATGTGACACTGGGGATGGAACCCTCATCCCTGTGCTTGCCAAAGCAGGTGCTTAGTCTGCTGAGCTATCTCGCCAGCCCATTTAAAATGAATTTTTCAGTTACATTTATTTCATTTGTTTTTAGTACCAAATTATTGTGAGTTAGGATTTAACCTCCCCTGTTTATTTATCGTTTGAACCAGGAAAAGATATTTTAGAATTTGTATGCAGATGGCACCAAGATTTAGTAAATATAACTTAATCTAAAATATAAATACCTGCTTAGGCAAGTGCAAAGACCTGGGATCAATCTCCGACACCACAGGCTACGCCAGCCTCACCCCGGGCATTCTGAGTGGGCCATCGAGACTGTACGTGGTGGTGCACACCTATAGTTCTAGTGCTGGGGAGGCTGAAAACAGGAGGATCACTACAAGTCTGAGCTGCATAGTGAGAACCTATACCCTACACGTAAACAAATATAAATAAATAAATAATAAAATATAACTACCATTATGCTCTGTCAAGAAGGACATGTCATTTTCAGTACGACTGGGTTATCACCATCACAGGTACAGCTTTGACATAGCTATTTTCATGCAAATATTTTCCAATTCAGAAAATGTAAATTTAAAAACTTAGAGAATATATCATCATTTTCACCATAAGTTCCAAGAAATTCAAATAATATTTTGACTAAATAATACACACACACATATGCACACTATTTGCACACTTTGAAATGGTTATTCTCCCTTGTATAACTTACCTGGATACACAGTTTTGAGAATGTCAGGTCTGGGGGGTGTTTTGCAACATATACTACTTTCTGTGACCTTCAAAATATCACAAGGTTGTCCTACACAAGAGCAAAATGCAAAACTCTTACAAATGAATCTTCAGAATACAAACCACATTAACTTATCTTGAGATGCTTTTTCAATTCAAGCAAAGTAGCATGAACAGATGGAAAAGTTGGGGCCCTCCATTTTCTTTACATATTTTCCATTAATTATATCATGTATTCGTTATTATACTTCCACCAAAGAAAACTTTCCTGCCAAAATACTGTGTCATAGGCTTGAGATAGAAAATCTTAAAAGTCTAAGAAAAAATATGAAAAATTTGATAAAACTATATCTTTGTGTAAAAGAAAAACCACTTTTGAGTCCAAGGTGAATCCCCACATTTGTTCCTCAGAGTACTCGCTATCCAACCATCCTTGAGGTCCAGGATTCCTGAGGGGATGCGATCCCAGCTGCTTAGGTAGGAAAAGTGCTAATTTTAGTCCAGGTTCTTCAGATGAAAAGTAAAAGTGGCAATTTAAGATGTATTCATCTGAGTCCCAAACAGATAAGGGTCTAAAAGAAAATGATTGTAACTTCCACACAGCTGCTTAGTGGAAGAGGTTAAGTTTCAGGTGTGTCTCTCCTGTAAGATCAGCCTCAAGTGCTCTCTGAAATGGCGATCGCTGTCCACAGAAAGTGAGGACGAGCAAAACGGAGAGATCTAGCCTTCCCAACTTCTGCTTAATGCTCTGGGAAGTGACACTTTTCACCATAGTATTTTGAATGTCTTGTGAATACAAGAAAATCGAAACAGATCCGTATGTTAAATCAATAGCCCTTTTATGGGGAGTAAAAACAGGCAGACGCAAGTCGCTACTTTTGAGAAACTTTTAAAGACTCCACATTTCAAGTCTGATTGCCATCTCAAAGGTAATGAGATAAAATAGAAAATGGACATCACTTTGGCATATCAGTTTATCATAGTTAAAATAGGCGTAACAGATCATAGAACACAGTACATAAATTATGACCATTTCATACACCTTATTTTACTATTTAAAGTATAACATCTCATCATACAGTACATTACTGGAATATAAAAATCTTATGGGACAAGTGTTACTATTTGTACAGATGACCGGCAAGGTTTCATGGAGACTGGGGAGTCACTGCACACATTAGATGAGGTTGCTGTCTATCTACTCCTCTTCTTTTCTGAAATCGCATTTTGAGAGTTCTTGGGCAGAATCCTTAAGCAGTGGAAACTACTGAAACAAGAGAGCTACTGCAGAGAATTTACAAGCCTGTGCCCAGCCACATGGTCAGCATCCTGTGCCCTGCCTTCCCCCCGGGAGCGATGGCACTGTGACTCAGGCGGAAGGGTACCTCTATTACGTTTATCTAACCTCACCTTCAAGCTGCACACTTCCCTGTCTCTGAAAGATCTAGATAGACACACAAAATTGATGCACAGCTGGAGAGCCAAACTCTGCACATTTGTAAATGGTATCTATCCATTAGATAGTGCTGTTTCCAAGGCCAATGCCATCAGTAAGTTCTAATGGCAAGTGCCACCATATATTACAGAGGTGTCAGGACTGTACCAAATGGTTAATACCAATTTCCCCATAATTAGCTAGCTCGTGGAGAAGTAACAACAGTTCAAAAGGACATTCAAAGGCTCACTACATCGGGGGTGTGGTGAGGAATCTGTGGCTAGTAACAACACTACAATGTCCTTTGATGCCACCCTCATTGCTCCAGCTCCAGTAGCACTGGTGTCTGGAAAACTGAGGTACAGAGAGCTCTGAGTTCCACAGTTTACATGAATGATCCAGTTTTTAATTCCGTATCATCACTGAGAAAAGACTGTTATTCTGTTTGCAGATTTTTAAAGAACAGACAGCACTTATTTTTAGAAAGCAGCATATTAAAACCAAGAAAAATACCTCCAACTAGAACGCTCGCTGGGAGATCAGTCTGATCAAAGAACCGACCAGTTATTGTTAGCATTGTACCACCCTGAATGCTTCCTTTTGAAGGTGAAATCGTAGTAACCTCTGAGGAAAGAAAGCACACTTTTAGAATGCTGTGCAAGTGCCACACACACCCAAATGCTGCATTTCAAAAAAGATTTCCAAGCCGCCTAGCCACACCACCCAAGGGAACCGGGGGTAGATTGCCAGCGAAAGGAGTAGGTGTTCCATCTTGGTGTCTCGTGTGAAACACTGCAAAGCAGACAATAAACAGCTTTCACAGGGACTGACACCCCAAAGGGGACCAGGCCTGAGTGGTGACCGGTGCTGAGGCGACAGCGATTAGGAGATGAGATAGACGGTATAAGGAAAAGCTGAGCAGGGCATGGATATTTAGAACAAAGCAACAGGAAGACAGGTTAAGCCACCTCTGCTGCTATACACTCTTGAAGAACACACCTTATACTTGTTATACTGTGGACCAAAATTTTATGTTCATATTTTCTTATATTATTATTCATTTAACTGTGGTTAGATATTTGTGCTTTTGTACATAAAAACTTAATTACATAGATAAAACATAGGACCTATGGCAAGCTCTTACTAAAATTATTTCTTATTAATTATATTGAAGTTCTATTGCACAAAGCATTACATCAAATACATTTCTAAGAAAAGCTGAGATATTTCTCATTTGATTGAGTTCCCTGAGAAACACTTTTTTTTTTTTAACATGTTAGCTCCTTGAAATTATTTTTTGGGGGGGCCGGGGAGATGGCTCAGTGAAATAAGCACTTCCCTAGCAAGCACAAGGGCCTGAGTTCAATCTCTGGTTCTGGGGAAAAAAAAAAAAAAAAAGAAAGAAATTATTTTTTTACTTTTTTTCTTTTTTAATATATTTGGCTGTTGCAGGGTCTTACTATGTAGCTCAGGCTCATGGTGATTCTCCTGCTTTCAGCCTCCCCAGCGCTAGGATTACAGGCATGCACCACCACGCCTGGGTTCTGGCTGGCTCAACCCACCCTGGAGGCAGGGCTGGCACAGCACATGGTGCTGGGGATCGAACCGTGGTACCTGCACTTGCCTAAGCTTGCCTAAGCAGGCATTTTAGTCCACTGAGCTATCTCACCAGCCCTACATTTTTAATGTCTTTGAAATCTGCACATGTCTCTACATCGCTCCTGAGCAGATAAATACAAAGAAAGAGATTTGTTGGCTTCTGATGCTTTCGTAAGAGCACTGGCATATCAAACTGTGAACAATTTAAAATGAATAAATTAAATTAAAAACTGCTGCAAGGTTCTTCTACACTACCCTGGCAGCACAATTATGACTTTTGACCTGTGGTTCAAATTGATATGGAAAATTGGTTGATTTTCTTCCCTTGACCAACAGCTAAAGTTGAAACATGCAAGTTTCTCTACTTAGCATTGTGATTTTTATTTTCCGTCAACCTTGCATTAAGAAGTGTCCAGAGACCCGGCCTTAGTGTCCCACCATTCTCCATAGAAGGTAATTTTCCTTTCCTAGCAATACATAAAGTAATATAGTACACCTTATAATAATTATCTTTGATTTAATAAAATTAAGTACGCACTATCTCCCCCCACCCACTCACACATATGGAGAGGAATATCACATACCTGCAAATGTTTGAAACATTGAAATTGTGTTGAGAGAAGAAACAAAATATGTCATTTTCTGTGGGAAACTCCTGTTTAAAAAAGATAAACTCTCGCTTAAGTTCCTGATTGAAACAATAACCTTTATTTTAGGATTTTTGTAAATAGTAGAGGTAGAAATCATGCTGTAGATTGCAAAGAAGCACAATACAACAAGTTTTGAAGACAAAGCTTGATTTGTTTGTTGGTTACATATGTACATTCACTGTCAGAACTTGCTAAACTGTACATATCAAATATGTACGTCTTAGTCTACACAAACTATTCCTTAATAAAGGACTTTAAGATACTGTCTGACTAAAAACCAAGCAGACTGACAGACAGCAGGACAGTCCCACATGTAGTGAGCTCTTCTGACCACTACCCCAGCCTCTTCTCCTACAGCCTCTGTAGGTGCTATGAGAATGCAGCTAAGAGCTTTCAGTTTACTGATATTTTGATGCTACTTCAACCACGTGAGGCACTTAGCTCACTTAAAACCATGAAGACAGACAGTGAAAGAAACGGGACTGGAACCCAGGCACTGTGAGTCCAAAGCCCCGGCTCCTCGTCTACAGTCCCCGCAGCAGCCTTCCTGCCCGCTAGTACACGACGCAGTAGTGTGGCTGGATGAGAGCACATGGACAGCAATCCACCAGGCCAGTTATCTCCTCCTCAGTAAACACTGAGACTTCATGTCTGTGCATATTTCCTACTGATAGACACTTTAACTTCCACTACGTGGAGGTTAGAAAAGAATCTTAGAAATTAAATTTTTCCCTTCCGTATTTCCATTAAATTCATAACTTGAAAAATTAAGAATTTTTTTAAAATAAGAAATTCAAATAAGAAGTTTAAGACTCAAACACCATTCAGGATAATTTGCCTACATTGAACTAGAGTCTAAAAGGACGAAATAAATCTTGTTGTTGAGATGAACAATGAAATCTCCTAAAACCTAACTCAGGTATTACAACATTCCTGCACAAGACTAAAACATCATTTGAATTGTTTTATGCTAAGTGAGGTAGGAGCTTTACACTGGATTATATATTTTCCTTAGTTTTCTTTTTTTGGGGGGGGAACCAGGAATCAAACTCAGGACTTTGCACTTGCCCGGAAGGCATTGTGCCACCAAGGATTGTATATTTTTATGTTCTACGAGTTTAAGTTGATTTCCAAAGATCTGAAACCATGATGTCTTCAACAATGCTGTTTCAGACTAGCTGCTACATATCAAAAATAACTATTCTTCTTAAGTTATTAGGAAAATTGCCTCCTGAAATAAAATTTGAATGTAATTTATTTTGGATGACAGTGAGGTAATTCTCACTAATTCATTGATAATGGTGAGGCATTTCTCAATTAAGGCAGTCTCATCTAAACCTTATCAGTTTGGAACAGCTGTCATTTGGACTTGGGGAAAGAACAGACAGAAGGTTGGCTATTAAAAGAGACCCAGAATGAGTAGCTCACTGGTCTTTAATTGGTTCATTTGATATTCAGAAATGCTCCTGAAATTGATAAAATAGGAATTGTATAATTTCTAAAATGATTTAGCAGTTTTAAATGCCATGTAAACTTAAAACTTATTTTTAAATAGTAAACATAATATTTCAATAATTCTCTTAAATTCCTGAGAATATTTCAGAGAAAAGCAATTTCTTCAATTATGAGACATTAACACTAAGGGTCAACCATTGGCTATAAAAGGAAGAAGGAATCTTAATAGAAGAACACAGAAGCAACACTTCAAGGCAGTGGTCCTGCCTATCATATCTGTGGAGTGGAGTGTGCTCTCAGAGGGGACGTTTGTGGGCCTGCTGTCACAGCATGGGGGTCTATGGACCCTTCCCATACGCTTGGCTTTAACATACTCAGCCATGGTCACTCCAACACCTATTTTTGGGTGGCTATTTTTCTGACTGACATATGATGGATTTTACAATTAATACTTTTCATATAGACTAAGAACTAAGAATTTATTTTTTTCACCTGAGAAGAATGAGATTGAGCATAAAAGAATGAGACACAGAGTAAAATATATATATATATATATTACAAAATAGGATAGATATAGAGCTACCTTCTATTAGTTCAATGAGGAAAGTTTGTACTAATATTGTTTAGACAAGATACCATGTCTGCATCTTGTCCTCTGAATAACTACTATGAAGACAACAATATGCAATGCATTAATTACTGTAACTGTCCTACTAACCTGTTTTGAAATGGTTTCATTGCTATTTTTCTCATTAAAATGAATAAAAAAATTTTAAAAAGAATCAGACATAGTTTCAGAAATCAATTAAAACAATAAGTATTGCTGCTAACTTGGTTTCTTAATATTTTTGGTATATTTCTATTGCTGGATCTTAACAAATTATACATAGCCACTGTTGTCCTTGCAGAAAACAGCTGCTGAATCACAGGGTCTTGAGCCAGCTGTCCCACATAAACACAAAGGTATATCCTAGCACCACCTAATGGTGTCCACTCTGATGTGCTCTTGAATGATACTGCTCCTCATGGTTTCAGCCTAGTGTATACTAGTGTATAAGAGAGCGTCCAGGCCAGATACTCCCTCACTGCAGACTTTTTTCTTCTAGACGTCCAGTGTTGGATGCTCTCTAAATGCACTGGCTGTGACCTTCAGGTCAACTGGAATTGCAGCGCCATCCAGGGAAGAACTAGTCTGACCTTCTCTTGCAGTCTGTGAATACTGACCAGGAAAACAATACACTTTGATCGTAGCATTGCCATTTTTTTTAAGCTTCTAAATATTGAGTCTCTTTTTAGATTCAAAAAGAAAAGAAATCAATAAAACTAACCTATCGTGGACCTACTAAAGCCACATTCCATAATATGATATGCTAAATGTGTAATTTATTTGACTTTCAGAGAACAAACTCCTTTTCTCAATGAAAGACACTATCACATTTTGGACAGAATAATTCATTTAGGTTTGGCATATCTTGGCATCCTGGCCACAGATGCTGTAAATATCCCTAGTTACTGTGACAGGAAATGCCCTTATAGTTGCAAAAGCTCCTGTAAGTATAGTAATCCTGTATGGTTTTTTAAAAAGTCCTGAATCAGGATCTTAAGTAGTGATGAGATGTGATACCGGTAGTGGAAGCCTTCTGTCAGTCATTGGAGAGCACTAGTATGAAACCCTCAGCTCCTGGCCTTAGACTCCAGGACTCACTTACAGTCACTACTTCTCCTGGCTGAATATCTTGAAGCAAATTACTTAACATTTCTCTTATTTTATCAGTGGCTATTGTGGGGAGGGTGATAGCATTCAGTTTATAGCTCCTTTGAAGGATTGAAGTAGATCATGTATGTAAAGTCCTCAGCACCATGGTTTCCATTAAATGTTCATTGTTAGTTCGCCATTATCATCTATAACCCGAGATTTGTAACATGTGTTGCAATTTGCATATTCTGATAGTTCCTTGACCACATGAAAATCTTACTAAAATTAAGATGCAGGATATCTGGAAATGAGTTTAAATTTTATTAAAAGTTAAATATTATAAATATTTTATTAATAATATTAATATTATTAATATCTTGGTGATAAGACATATAACTGATGACTCTATCATCTTGAACAGCTCTGCTTTAATATGAAAGAAAATATCAAGCAATATTAATCATAAGGTTCTACTTATTTTTATAGTGGTTCAAATCAAAATTTAATTAGTTTAGCTGTCAAAAGAATTATAATTAAACCAGAAGAGCCATAAGATATAACACATTTCAATATCACAGTTAGATTTTTATTTCTATTTTAGTTAGAGCTAGATTCCCAATAATTGAAAGGTCATGTATGAAACACATATCACAAGCAAAAGAAAGTAACTGACTCTAAATGCTAACTTTGGGTAGGAAAATGATTAATTCTTCCATCTCTGAATCTATGCAATGAAGTAAATACACATTTTGTTTTATTTACCCAGTTGAATCAATTATGAAAATTATTATTTACACAATGGCCTACCTTCCATAATCACTGTCTAAGATGAAGCTGACATTGTGATGACCTGGAATTAATTAAAACACACAATCAATTAAGCTGTCAACCACAAGAGAATAACAACTATATGTTATAAAGATCATTTAAAAGCAACAAAGACAAAATAAAACTGCATTAATAAATCACCTTTTAATCCCGAGAGAAATGAAAACTGAACTATATTTTTTTTTCCTTTTTAAATTTTTTCATTTTATGATAAGGCAATAGATAAATAGGGAGAAGTACAAATAATTCCTCAAATTACCTATTCCATCATTTCAAACATATTTTAGTATATATATGCTAATTAGGTTCATTTTTTTAGTTAATTTCTCTTAGTTCATTGAAAAGAAAGTTTTGTGCTATTATGTTTGCTTTTTTTGTAAGAGTGAATCTTTTTTAACCTTTGCCTTGGACTATCTTTTTAAAGTACCTACAATACAAAAACATAAGGTATCTTGGGGTTATATCTTGTCAGAAAAATCTGACAAAATATAATTAGGAATGAAGAAAAACTCAAGAACAGGTTCGTAACCATGCCCTTAAATCTCTTTCCTTACTGTGCAGCTCTCGTTGTTCAGAGCCCCTGGTAGGGGTGGAGAGACCAGGGTGAACCCACCCCTCACCTAACAGAACACACTGTCGAGGGATGGACACAATCAGTCAAGAGCGATGACACAGACAGAGAGCTAGAAAGTCTGATAAGGCCATCAGGAAAAGAAAAGCCAGCTCTGAGAATAAAAAACAGGAGGTCAGAGGAGATTTTTTCTGAGGACGGACATTTTATCTGCAGTTTTCAAGACAGGATGTTTCCAAAGGACCTGAAGCAGAAAGGAGGGAAATTCATTCAAGAATCAAAAGAATATGTGCAGCTAAAGGGGGAATACAAAGCAGCGTGAAATGAAGGCAACAGCTTAATTAGCCACTGAGTCCTCTGAGGGGAAAGAAGAAATGCCAAGTAGATTATGTGTGAACTTTAAGAAAAAATCCATTCATATACATTTATATGAAGCAAAAGAAGTCAAGGAAGAATAAAATATTTTTATACAGACATGAGAGGTCGAAAAAAACACAAAATAGCAAAAGAGGGTCAGGCATCAAAGACAATTATGAAGAGAGGCAATCAACACTTACCAATGTAAGTTCCAGTTACTTTACAAATCATAGAACCCAGGTCTCCATTCGCATGATCTAGCTTTAGCCCATACCTAACAAGCACATGTGTTAATATCTGAGTATATATTAACATTCAATTTTTAGAATACCGTTTTTTTCTTTTAAAACATCTCATTTCAGAATATGCATCAAGATAGAAACTATTGCTACAACAAAAGTTTCTGTAAAACAAAACTAGTTCCAAGACTTCACTGAAGATATTTAAATAAAATTTCACATAACAGTAAAATATTTTCTAATTAACTTTGATGGCTCCATTATTTCTTTTAAAGAGTTCAAAATACTATTCATGAAACAATGGTTTGATAATGACAGTTCTCAAAGTATTTTTCTCATAATAACATCAATAGTGGTTCCTAACATACTACATTGGACACAGAGTAGGTCATAAGGTATATATTATAAAGCTAAGTTAACAGTAGAAAAAATAAAAACTATACTTATAAATTGTCTATTTATCCACAAAGAAATGAAAACTGAACTATCATTAAAAAGTACCTACAATATAAAATTATGCCTAAAGTATCTTGAGGTTATAACTAGAAAATCTGGCAAAAAAAATTAGGAATAATATAACAATATAAATGAATGCTAATTTACCTTATAAATACCATAAGTTATACTGCATTATAAAGCATTTATCTATACAGCTTTACTAGCAGTTATTTAAATTTAGTAAGTTTATATCTGCTACTTATCTTTAAAAAGAAAATTAATTACTTACAAATCATCAGATTGTGGTTTCAGAAGCTCACAGGGCATTCCTCCAGCATAAACTCTGCAGAAACATTTTATGTAAAAACATTGTCATGTTTAATCAATTGTTTCAAAATACCTTCCTCCTAGGAAATGCAACAGCCACTTTAAATGTTTGCTCTCTCAATTGTTATTATCTGTCACTCATTCTTTCAACAAAAGTCTATGGACCAAGGCTGGGGAGATGGCTTAGTAGAATAAGTGCTTCCTTGGCAAGAGCAAGGGCCTGAGTTCAATTCCCGGTTCCGCAAAAAAAAAAAAAAAAGTCTATGGACCATTTTACTTCAGGAAGGAGACTAATAAATATGATAATCATAATATTTGGTTGTTAGAAAGTGCTAAATACACAGGAAAACCTAGATACTGGATTTATCTGCTTAGAGTTCAATAAATTTGAATAAAAATAATATTTGTAGTAAGATTTGAAAGTTGTTGGCTTGAGCCTTCTACAGCTCAACGTATTAACATGGGTTTACGTTTTATATCTCATTGTCATATTTTTGTGCTGGATGGTTAAGATCAAGATAAAACAAGACCTATATAATAAGAAATGTAACTTTTGTAGGTAACAAGATCAGTCAAATCCCTCTCAGGATTTACCCTGTACAGCAGTTTGTGATCCTTTGTCAGTGTCAACCATGTGGATGAGTCATGGCCATTGCTTGACCAATTTGCTCTCTGTGAAAGCCTGAGAGAATGTTTTCTCTCCAGGTGACTCTCCTTAGGCACATTATACATCGTCGATCACTTTCCTCTGTGACCCCATAATCTCCTTGATTAGAAAATTTGGGACACCACTGAGTTACAGGATTCAAATTATAGAAATTGAGTGGAAGAGTTAATAAGGCTATCATGGTGAAGAAGGCATGTACCTGCATCAGATAAATAGATGACAGATAGATAGATAGATAGATAGATAGATAGATAGATAGATATGCAAGAGGGGAGGAGAGAAGGAGGGAGGAAAGATTTAAGTGGAGAGAAGGTGGGATGAGGTGGAGTGAAAATATTTTCCTTCACATTTCCTCAGCTGCTGAGGCTCTCAGGGCTGTTATAGTCAGGCTGACAGAATTTGATAATACTGGAGGCTCACAGGTAACTGGCATCATATTGTTTGCAGCCTCAGAATAAACCACCCAGCTTCTGTGAGAGCAAATTCCAGACTCAAAATAAGTCCCCACACATATAGCACTGTAAAAAAAAAAAAAGAAAAAAAAAAAACAAGGACTTCTGTTTGCAGGAAATACTGAACTTTAAAAAATATTTGTATATGCAAGTCCTTTCATTTGATCATTACATGAGGTTTGGGAAGCAAGTCAATGGAATTACTGAACCTGTTATGAAGATCCTGGTCTCAAATTCTCCTTTTAAACTCTTGCTGTTTTCAACTGAGTAGTACATTTAGCAGCTAGCACTTACAGGCTCTTATTACTTTTAATTCTTGCATCCATCCTACGATTTATTAACTACTATCCTTTTTATAAGTGAGGAAACTGAGGAAGCTCAGCTAAGTGATTAGCCCCTGCCTGCAGCTGGTGAGGCATAGAGCATGAATTCCCAGCCTACGCTCTGCCTCGCTTGTGAGAATTCCATGGTGGTATAGGTGAGCATACCTGACAGTACTGCTCTATTGGCCTTCATGGTGTACTTTTAAAATTTCATCTCACTTTAAGATCAAAAGTGCCCTAGTAGGTGGACAGCAGACCCTCTGTCAAGTCTTCTATAATTTGCACCAGGGTTGAATTGAGAGCGGTGGCTGAAAAGATAAAAAGCTGAGGAGCAGCTCTGGCTTCCTGCGCAGGACCCAGCCCTGGGCTCTGAATGCGCTGCTGGTGACACAGGCACAGGGAAACCATGGAGGAAGCCCGGCGTCACAGTGAGCGTGGTGTAGGTGACAGCAATAGTGTTTAAGAACATCTCATTCTCCCGTTAGTAGGTGAGTGAAAATTTTTATCTCAAAAGGCACCATCATTTTCAGAGGACAAGGGGTGGATATGCTGATCTCTCTTTAGGTGACTTTAGGATGCGATTTTTATCATTTCATAAGTTTCATTGATTCTTTGGTATGAAACAGGTAAATTCTAGCCACTGTGGGGGAGGGCACGGTGGGGACCAATTTGATTTGGAAACTTATCCACTGATACGGCAAAAGATAAATTAAAAAAAAAGCTTACCTAAGAATTAGAGTATAAGCTGTTTATAGTACTCAACTATAATGAAATGGATAAAATCTTTACTTACACTAAGTTGTCTGTAGAAAATGTTATACTTTTATCTAGTAGTTATTTTATTGTATTTAAGGAATCAATATGAACAGTTCCAGCTGCAAACAAATGTGATTCAGCTGGAACTTCTACCACACAGAACGTCAGCTAAGTCACCTTTGTTTCATTTCATAAAACTATTTAAATTGCTTGCTTTATGAAATTATTTACATACATATGCACATACATAGTCTATTTAGCATTTTAAAAAGCCTATAATTGTTTCCTGAATTGTTTATTTAATTTATCCATTCATTTGTTTTAGATATGTATTTAACGAACATGAAATGTTTTAAAAGCCATGATAGTACATCCATATTTTTGTGAGAAATGAACAGGACTCTCTGTTTTCTGAGGCAGGGCCAGGAGAACTCCATCATGCTACCAGAGAATGCTCTGGGGACAAGGTCATTGTCCAGGAAGAGCTATTGCTTTTGGCTGATAGCAGCAGCCAGTGAGCATCTGAGGGACAGGGGCTGAACAGAGGAATCTTGCTTCAAGCCCTAGCCTGCCAATGACAGTTTCTGCTGCACACTCTCCCAGAATGCAATAGAAAAAGTGTCAACTGGGTTAGGAGGCTTGGATCTATTCCTCACCTTGACTAAGCTACGTGACTTCTAGGTCTCAGATATTTTTAAATAGAGACTTCTAGGTCTCAGTTAAAGTAAGTAATAAACCCCTCTATTTCTGAAGTTCTATGGCCATAACTCAGTTACTATTAGACTTACATTCATGTAATTCCTTTTAATAAAATCCTTCATAGCAAAGAAAAAATTACACCAGACCAAAAAAAAAAAAAGCCAACAGCGAAAGCATGTTGACAATTGTGTCATATCAGGGAATCAACCAATAGTCTATTTTTCTTCCTATAATATGTATGAAACACTGGTTAGTTCCAACACATCATCGTGGGTGTGATATCATTGGACCAATTATTTCTAGAATATCATATTTCTTCTATGAGTCATAAGAATATAGTTTCACATAAAATTACCTCAAAATTCTAACATTTTTCCCATTTGAGCTTAGGGCAGTATTACTTCCATAGACATCAGTGAAAATTCTGCCTTGGATTGTAATCAGCGTGCCTAGGAACAAAGCAATCTGAATCACAAAAACATTCTATGTGAGACTATCTTTCTGGACATTTAATTCCAAAACACTCTAGTTTTTCCCAATAAATCCAGCATCCACACACATATCCAATGTCCATCACACTTTAGCACTGGACTGAAAATTCTAGTAAATATAGTGAAACATCAGTGATTACCTATAACATTTGTGTATCAAATAGATATATCACAGAAGACAGGATAAATTACGTAATGGATCAAAGAGTGATTTACTTGAAGAAAAAAATTTTCTATTTACACAAATAAACAAATCCTAGGTGACATAAGAAAAAAGGTAAAAAGTCAAACTAGATAAAACCTTGAATTGAGGTAAAAATTTATGTAATATTTACATAATGATGTAGGTGAAATTTTGCATAACTTAAAAACTGATGAAAGAGAAAGCAAAAGTTAAGATTGATAAATTTGATAATAAAAATAGCAAAAACCATTAATGAATTTTCAAAGAAAATTACATATTCAAAAAGATTTCCACAAATGATATATAAATTGCACATACCTTTCAAAGGCAAGGGTTCTAAAACTTAACATGAAGAAAAGAGGAGGAGGTAAACCAAGGATATAAATAAATAACTTATAAAAGATAAAGGCAAATTTTCAATAAATCTAAAATAAATGTAGTGACACAAATCCAAGAATTAAAAGAAAATCAAACCTATGGTATATTTCGTATGAATACCTGAAAACAATGAGTATCTACATTTCCCCAGGAGTCATCATATGAATACTGGAAGGTAAATACCCAACAGGGAAAAAGTTAAATACCCTGGGGTAGATTCAGGTGCAACTTTTGAAAATAATTGTTTAAAATATTGTAATTATTTTCATAAAAAGAAAAATATAATTTATATATTTTATGTCATAATAATTTTATATCCTAAAATATAGGTTAATCAGTAGTCATAATACCGAGAGCATTTCAGTAGGCATGGAACAGACCTGGAGTTCCAGATAAAGGTGTGATGCTTCTTATTATTGGTGTTCTGAAACTTTTTACCTGAAAAAAAAGGCAACAAAGAATCTTATTTCTGTTTTAATTCTGATTTCATGGAATAGATTTGTTTTCTGTGTTATTTTTATTTCAGCAATATCCATAACATTACTGCCAAAACGTAATTTTTTACATATAAGAAATGATACAGAGGGGCTGGTGAGATGGCTCAGTGGTCTAAAGCGCCTACTTAGAACAAGCTTAGCAAAGCACAGGGACCATGGTTCAATTCCCCAGCACCACATGCCAACCAGCCCCGCCCTCTGGTGGGCTGAGCTGGCCACACACACACACACACACAAATAAATAAAATTTTTAAAAAAGAAATGATATAAAAAACATTTCTTATTGTTCAATATCTTTCTTCTTACCCCCAAAAAATTCTTTCATTTCAAAATGTTGTTAGCCTATAATTGTGAAAGCCAAGCATCCTCCTAGTCACACAATAAGCCAAATCACAGTGATAAAGGCTTTTAGGAATTTAAGGGTCAGCTAAATAGCTCAGAGGATTAAAGTGCCTGCAAGCAGGCTCAGGGGCCAGGGGTTCGATTCCCCAGGCCTTCCATGCTGGCCCCGCCCCAGGGACGCACTGAGATAGACAGCAATTGAGACTGGGCGTGGCAGCATGTGCCTGTAATCCTAGGAGGAGTCTGTAAACAGGCGGATCACTACGAGTCTGATCTAGTAGTGAGACCCTGAACACCCTGCAGACCCTTCCCTAAAATACAGGGGGTGGGGGTGGGGAAAGAATTTGATGCAGTAAAATTAAAGAACTTCTACCTCTTTTTTTTTTTTTTT